GGGGGTGGGGTGGGGGAAGTTATTCCTTAAACGTCAAGGATCCCTCCCCCCACCTCCAGTTTTATTTTAACACCATTTGAAACGCCCGAAAAGTGACGAGTACATGACCTAACTTCCCATTCAACTTCAATAATTCTATCTGCTTGAGGTCAGTGTATTACCCTGACTGAAGCAAACGTCACAGAAATAATCTTAGGTTAACTGAACAGTTTGAATTGACATGTAGATTTTGAGCATGTAAAACATTAAGTAGCCTTATTGAGGAAATTTACTTCTAAAAATACAAACAAAAAATGCATTCATAAAGTAGATGAGCTAGCTTGCAAATAGACAGACAAAAGGCATGGGCACTTGTCAGCTGTTCGGTATCTGTTTGGGCCACAGCTATTATGGGGCAGTTTAAATGCATTGGCCATTTTCTTAAGTTAAATAAATGCAGCTTTCCTTACCCAACAAGTTGGATCACCTTATATCAACAGTGATTTTCCTCTTTATCCTTTCCTCTTACTTACCTGGATTCTGGCTCTTATTCAAAGACAGTCATTTACTGCAAAATCCAAGCTTGGTAATATCTGTGTATACAATTAAACATGTTTTTTTTTCCCCCCAACCATTAGTAATCTGTTAAAATTGACTTTTTCTGAAGCCAGTATCTTCAGAGTTCGAGGTAAAAATTTAACAAAGTATGTAGGAAACTGTCATTCTTAGTTTATTTTAAACATTCCACTAGAATAGAGAGGTCAAAAATACTGAGGTCATTGAAAAACAGATATGCTGAATAAGAATTGTGATCTGGTTAATTCACTAAGTGTGAGAGGAAGGGAAAAAAAAGTTACCTGAAGATAGAATTTCAGAATTTAGCCAGAACAATACAAGTATGCCTAAACTCATTAAAAAAAAAAACCATGAAAGTTTAAATACCCAAAAAAACCAGATGGGACATCCAATAGTGGTTTATTATATTATCTTTTTCATAATAAAACATGTCCTCTGAAGTTCTGTATCAAAGTTTGCATTCTTTTGGTGGCAACAACAGCAGATGTTTCATGTTTGTAGATATTTCAAATTATCAGTTTGAACTTCGTAGGCATATCAAACTGCATCTGCCTCTACCAACAAATCCAAGATGGTTCGTTTCTATTGAACAGATCCTTAATTCTAAGATTATTAAAGCAAATTAAAAAAGGTTTATTACTGATTTTTTCCAATACAAACATTGGATCTTTTAAAAAAGTGAACCTACCAACTACTCAGCTAATAGATGTGTACACAGACGTTCGTGAGTGTACTGTCAAGACCTGACCATTTTTAAGTGATAAAATTTTTGTTAAGGACTGTTCAGCCACAACGATGCCAAAAGCATAGCAAAGCTCCTTGATTAGTGTGTTTATAAAGCTACCTAAATAATACCAAGGATCACTTCAATATGCAAAATACCTTTTGTATAAATGCACACAACTTGCAAAAAATACGTATTATGACAAAGTAAACATTCTCTGCTTCTTCAATAACTACCACAGTAGTTTTTCTTGCATTTAAGTATAGATTCTGGCTCAGTAGTATCTAGCACGTTCTTGCTATACTGAGTTATTTTAGGTTATTCTCAAAGCTGAAGAACTCAGACTTAACTTTTATTTTTTACTAAAATTGATTCTCTCATTAAGGTACACTTACTATCAATTGATATCTATCACCACCCAGTTACTATGCATTTATAGCTACAAGTTTAAAGATTTTGCAGTTTTAAAAAAAAAAAAAGCATTAAGAAATGGCACGCACAGATACTACCTAAAGCAAGGAAGCACAACTTCAGCTAGAACACATCAACTCAAATGTCTCATTCAAATCGGTATGTCTAAAGCCATCTGTTCGAACCATGACTTATTAATGTTAATTATTTTGGCTACAACAGTAATTTTCAGCTTCTTGTTTGCAGATCCTTATGAGTCCGTGAACTCACTTCTGGAGGTTCATGACAGGTAACTCAGAAAAACAAGCCTACTGAAGCCTATTGCCAGTAGATTGAGAAACACTGAACAGAAATTTGTGTATCTACCAGCAGATTTTTATTGGTCAGAGAAAATAAAAGAGGAATTAAAGCCATAAATAACATCAGCTGTGATGAAAGGGAGATGGGGTGGGCAAGATATAAAGATGATGAATCTGTTCTAAACAAGACAAGCAATTGCATGCTGTGAAAAATATATACAACACAAAGGTTTATTGTTTTAGGCAGGGTAATTATAATATGAAGACCATAATCATCAGTGGTTTTAGCAGTTAAAGAAATTTTACTCAAAAGGAAGCTACTTATTAAAGTTACTCACATTAAGCATTTGGAGGATTGGGCTCATGCTGATACAAAGATCAATCAAGTGATGCACAGCTACTTGTAATTTTTACTTTTATTTCAGGACCAGCTTAAACTATTTGACAAGAAGAGAAATAGTGCCATCTGCCGACACAAGAAATAATCACTTGCAGGAAAAGCAAGTGTAAGATGCCAAAACCATTACGGCTAATGTTTTTAAAAAAATGAAGTCCAAACTTTTAAAGAAAATAGAATAGCCCCAAATTGTTTGTGCGCACATTTCTTCTAGTTTTGTCAACTTTTAAGAATTTAAGATTTTGAGATGGACTCCTAAACAGGAGGCAAGGAATGGATGCTTTTAAAACGTGGGGGTTTTGGCAACGAATGCTGCCCCCACCAAGCCACTGCACAATCCACCACCTTTCCCTTTCACAGACTAGAACTCAACATCCTACAGGGTGTTACTTCCACTTCCTGTATCCAACATCATGCTTATTTGGAGAACATTCATTTATGTACTGTTTTTTAGGCCACACCATATTTTGTCTTGGAAGAAAATTTAAGAGCTAAGTATGAATTAAGAGAGTAAAATTGATTTTGTACATTCAGAAAAATCAGACAACTGTGGGATTGTGCTGTTTTTTATTGTGTTTTCAATGGAGAAATACATCATCTGTTTACAAAATAGCTCTTGAAAAATACAAGGAGTACAGATACTATAAAACAAAGCAAACTCCAGTCATGAGACACTACGTACATCATGCGAAAGCAACAGTCTGATCTCCAGGTTATGAAAACTAGAATTAAAAAGTCACTATACAGAAAGGTTTCAAGTTCCCAGCTTGGCAAAACTTGGGTGCAGTTACATGAAACGTTTAATAAAATGAAAAAGATTTTCCGATGTGTAAACAAAATGACAAGACTAAATTTGTGCCTGGCAATTTCGATCTAAACTCCATAGCTACACAAAATACACAGACACCTTGTACACTTCAACTGTTAATATAACCTTCTTTGGGGGGTGGACGACAGCAGGCTGCACAGGGCAAGGAAAAGAGAAATATGGTATACTAGACATCTTAGACAAATGGCAAAAAAACCCCTTCGGTTACTGCACAGCCTAAGTAAAAGATAAGCTACACTCTGACTTTGGAGAATTAATTTAGAAGGATAAGGGGAAGAGTGTAAGTAATTTAATTTTAACATGAAAGATGCACGTGTAATAGGATGGAGCACAATGGGAGAAGGGAATTCATAAAACATGCTAATCAAAGTATGGGAAGTATGATTTGACATCCCATATATTTCAGACTTAAGTAATAGTAACATGAAGTTTGTTATCTACATCTGGTATTACTGTTGGTATCCCTCATGTTCCTCAAATACTGCTGTTCTTTGCCATGAGAGAGTCAGCTCTTTCGAAAGAAAAATCTGTTACTTTGATAGGACTACAAGAACAAAAAATAGGAGTAAGAGAGCTTACTAGATGTCAAGTGCTTACTAGAAATATGATTTTTAAAAATTCTGTGTTGTTCAGTATGTAAAACTATTTCTGATGAGCCATCTAAAAATAAAAAGGTTAAAATTCTTAGGGAAAAATCTTTTTGCCTTTATTTAAAATCTGAAGCTTTTTAACGCATACAGGACTTTTATGGAGTGTACAAAAATCATCTTATATTTAGTGATTCAAAGGCCATCAAGACAGGCATTTTATTTCACAGGCACGCAATATTTACTTGAACACTTTAGTCATGGGACAAAGTTTTGAACTTGTGCCTACAGACCACAAGGTATTCTGATTAGGTAAGGGGCAGGGGGGAACCCAAATGAGTCCATGGCTTGTTTTCATTTTCTATAACTATTGTCCTATATGGTGCATACAAGCTGCAAAAAAACCCCAAACCCAACATTAAACGCAAAAGCTTTCCCCAAGAAATAAAGGGATCAAAAAGGGAATAAGGAGTTTGATTAGCTCAAAGGAAAAGTTTATTTGCTGTTTGATTGCTGATCTGTATGCACCTTAAAACAATCCTATAAATAAAAGTAGGCCACATCTTAATCGTGTCCCACCAATACCAAAACTTCCCAATTACTTCCTCAACTTATGTCTTTTAACCTCAAGATTTGACGTTTCATTTTAAAGGCTTACTGCTGCTTGATGGCAGTTGAACTAGATACACTATACACTTAGTCTTCAATGTACAGTATATATCATAGAAGGTCATCCAATTTGCAGATTACAACTATTGAAGAGACTCTTCAATAAAAAAAAGGTGTATCAGTTGAAGATCTAAAATTAGTCATACTCCAATAAAAAAGTACATAAAAGTGCATTTAAGGGATTCTTATGCCAGTTTTATCTCAATTTTGAAACAATGCATCAAACAAATTCAATCAGAATGTCAAATATGGCTACAAATAGTGTTCATGTTTTTAAAGGCAGTAATCCTTCAAAATATTTAATGCAACTGTTGCTAACACATTAATTGTACTCCTGGCTTCACATACTAACCTGGACTTCCAATCAAGTGGTGATTTCAGCCCAGAAAGGGAAGTGCACAAAATATACCTAAATCCATTTGCAATTATGTTCTAGTCTTGCACCCTCCGTTCTCCTTTTATTTCTAGCATTAGAAGACAACAGGTTGAGTTGGCAGATACTGTTTATGGACCCCTGAGGTTGTTTTTACCGGTTCAATCTCAATTTTATTGAATTCTTGATAACAGGAATAGGATTTGCAGGGAGAGCAGGGATATCTGAAAGGTCTGTACTGGGTGTTTTCTGAAAAGAAAAGAAGAAGTTTGGTTGTATTTTAACTTTGTAAATATCAGAAAAACAACATTGTACTAATTGGCACTAACTTTCAAAAACAAGATCTTTAAAGGAGTTTTTAGGAATATACCAAGATAAGCGTAGTTACAAGTTACAAATATGGAAGCAGATACTTCTTTTACCTACACAGTCATTATTAAAGAAAATTTGTACAAGAGTCCCTCCCTTTCATACTGTGCATTTCCTTTTTTGACAACTGCAAGAAATTAGGAAGTGCCGCAGATAAAGCTGAGCCTACTAAACCCTGTATTATAATAAAACATAATACCCACATCGTAAGGGCGCTTGATCAGTGACATCTACCATCTGATCTACATGTTTAGTATTTAAAAATTCCTTTGAACAATTCATTATTAAGCCACAGCCCCTTATAGATGAATGATGAAAAACTGTCCCCAATGCAAAGTATGAGTCTTCATACATTCACTTTCAGACTGTTTAAAAGCTCTTTATAGCCAAGTTCACAACTTTTCATACTGATTTAGATTTACACGGAAAAGGATGATGAATTCTAAAACAGCGCTGTATGACTGGGTTATGAATTTCACCTTGAAAATAATCTGAACACTTTTTTTTCTTACTTAAAAAGACTTAAATCCCATTCAGCAAAATTATATCTAAAGTCAAATAAAGCAAAACACAGAAAAGGAACAGTTTCAAGAGTCAGTCTCATTCATTAATTTCTCATATGCTTAACAAGTGTGTATTGTTGGGTGTTGTTTTTTTTTTTTAATATCACAGTTTTCTCTTCCACTGCAGCAGATTATTTGCCATCCCAATAACCCAGTTGTTATTCATTGCTTCCCATGATTTATCATAAAATGTTTTCTTGTCTTATATTTAATATAAGGTACATTTGATATACGGGAAAAACTGCATTAAAATAACTGCTCTTAATTATTGTTTTATTAAAAAAAAAAATCAATGGAGTTAACACTGACTGACTGATACGGTAGTAAAGCACAACACAACAAGTACTCAGAGTAAGGCAAAACAGCTCTGACCTCCCACCTCCTCCCAGCCCCAGTAGCCCACTCTGGTTGGTGCTGACCTGCGGTTTAACACGTTTCTATTTTCTGCAACATGAGCAGTGTTTTAAACAAAGCCAACGAGAACACTGAAAAACGACAGAAGAGGCCCACCATTCTTTTGCAGGTTCCAGATTACTTTTGCTACAGTAGCAACTACACAATTTGTAAAAGCTACAAAGCTTTATATAATCATCCCTCAACAATAGGTGAAATAAACTTGGTGTACTAAATGATCTAAATATTTCCCTGAAGCAGTTTAGAGTGCCCATGTAACATCTAGAGTTTTTGCCAAACAATTCTGGTACCTTTATTCCGTACTGCTCATATAGTTCAAGAAGTCCAATAACAAATACCATTGATATGATTGCAATATATAATTTATTTTCAATCATTTACTACACATCATTTATGAGTAAAGTGTGCATAAAATGCTTTGTGATAGTGAAACTTCAATCAGTAGAGCACTAGAAGAAACAGAAAGCTAGTAAAGACAAAGACATGTTCTCTAAAGGTTGTTACAATATTAGGAACAAGAATTTAAGTGAATGCCACAGAATTCTTAACTTAATGATTATTTTTCCAGTGCTCCTTACACTTCTAACATCTGCAGTGAAGCAATGCAGCTGGCTAATGAACTATCAGATTACAACTTCTCTCTCATACCAGATATCAGAATCTGAAGCTACATTTCAGACATTCTCAACCTCTACCAGGATATCTTCGAGCAGCAGCTATTTAAAGCACTTGTTTCCTTGTTAGAAAGGATTATTCTGTGATGTGCAAAGCACAAAGGAATAAACTGAGCCCCTTACTTTGAAGGCACAATTCAGAAGAGCGAATCCAGCTTCGGTCAGTTTGTATGGCAAGCCATACATGTTTAGCTACAATGCACATTCAATAAGATCAATGACCATCTAAAACACAAAAATTGTGACAGTAACAACAAGCAGCTTTCTATACAATGGATTTATATCAAAATTAATACATTTATGTTTAACATCTGGACTTATTTTAATTTCAATGTTTTCACCACAGATTAGCACACACACACAAAGAGGTGTTGTTAAAAACAGTACCTGAGGAGCTTGCAGAGAAGTTGTCTGAAGAGTTTCTGTTTGAGAATTAACATTCACTTCTGTCTCAAGTTGCTCCTAAAAAAGTAAAAGCATGAAGAGTTACACCGCTTCCAATTATAAAAGCTATTTATACATATCTCCATTAACCAGAATGCCTTAAGCTGTGCATATATAGCAAAAGCAAAAAGGCAAGTATCACTACTTGCTGCATTGGTACCCATCCTTTTATAACACAGAAATCACCACATTACAGAATGTTTTGCCGATCAGGAATTTTGCATTGACACAAGTTACATGACTCTTCAGTTGTTAAGTGGTTAAACAAGTAACACCTTTTACACAGAAACCTATAGGAAAATATTACATGTCATTCAACTCATTAAAGACAAAAAGTGTAGTATCAAGGAAGACTATATGAAAACCTGCTGAATTTGTTGCAAATTCAACTGCTTTTCCACTCCTTTCACCATTCTGCCAGAAAAGTTTTCCTGCTACTTTAGTGGGCTGAATCAGCTTTCTGGATGAACAGATGAATGTCAGAGCCAGTTTTTCAGGTGAAACAGTGCGACTGCACGGCTAAAGCAGGATAGTGGCACATTCACAATTTAACAAAAACAGCCTGTTAGTTAAAATTGTACCATTTACTAGACCATGCCCTAGCAAAAAATGCAGGCATTCCACTGGAGAAAAAACTATACTTATGTTAAAGAAGTTCATTCCTCCATTTCCTGCTATGTACATTAAGGACATAAGGTTTAGAGAACACTGACAATAAAAGCTAATAGGATTACCTATGTTTTTCATAATGATATGTATCCAGAGTATCTTTTTTCAATGTGAGGATTAAATGCTTACATGCATTTCTGTCTTCACCTGTCTTGAGTTCAAAGATTTCAAGGTGACTACTTAACAAGATACATTTCTAACTTAAGGGTGTGGAAATGATAAACCAAAGCACTTAAAACAATTTAATAGATATTTTAATTTCTCTGCATATTTTCCAGGATATTTCAAAGACAACAGAACGTGCCCTATAAAAACTGTATACACTCAAGTGGGCCGTAGACCAAGACAGAGCTGCTATCTTAAGGCTAAAGACAGGCTGTCACCCTTTCTGTTCATCAATAAGCAAAAAAAATTGTCTGCTAAATTACCAGATACTGAAGGGGCACGCTTGAATCTCTGGAAGTCCCCAAAACGTATGCTGTAACTTCTTACAATAATTCCACTATCAGAAGAGATTTATTCACCACCATTTGAATTTTTTTTATCTAAAAAGTGAACAAGGTCGCACCTGGCTTCGGGATTCTCAGCCCAACATGCAAAAATCCCAATGGAATACATAGGACAATTGTTCTTTAAGTACAATACATCAAATTCAGGATGCAGGCAAAGCGAGGCATATAGACACATCCCTGATCTGATTTAACAAATTTAAATACAAATATCATCATTAATTTTTTAGCTATGCGTAATAATGTGCGAATGACCAGCAAAGAAATCACTGTCCTATGTGACCACGGACCCCAGGCTCAGCTTAGCCTGGCAGCAGGTAGTCTACTGCAATTCATTGATATTGACATACAGATCACAAAAACAATGTATTGCTTTGATATCTTTACTGGAGAGTCTATACTATAGCTACAAACACTCTTAGTCATTCCTACAGGAAAACACAGTAATTTCCACAAGGTAGAGTCCCAATTAATATACAGAAAATTGTACGGCATAGGCATAGATACCTTAATTTCCATTTTTTCATGATCATTCAAATCTATACAGCTAGTATCTTCACTTATTTCGTCCTAGCTGAAATGCAAACAAACCCAGAAACTATTAAAAATCATAAAAACATATTTAAGGGAAACCAAGAAAATGAGGTTGTAAAGTGGTTTTTAAGACAGAATTAGTTGTAAGACTTAACATGTTATACTCTTAACAAAAAAATTGCTTTTAAGCCAAGACTTTAGAATCTAAGCGTTTGTGCTAACACAGTACACTTATCACGTGATGAATGTAGGCATAATAAAGACCAATGCCTAAGCAAGCTGAACACATAAAGCAGCAATGCAATCAGAGTAGGAAATACACACCCCATTTAACAAAATATTTGAAACCCAGAATATGAGAATCAGCACTTTGCAGCTGAAATGAACACTCAAAGTTTTGGATATTACTATGGTACGATCTCAAAATCTCAAATACCTCTTCAATTTTCATTTTCTTGGGAGACTCTTCTTTATGCGGAGAAGATGTCCTTTTCACTGCTGTGACAGGGCTAGGCATTTTTGTTGCAACATTTCCTGAAGTTCTTGGTGATGGATTTAATAGATACACTGAGGAAACAATTCTAGAGATGGTAGGCTTTGGTGGTGGAGAAATGGCTGGTTGTGTGGCAGTTTGAGGAATGCTTTCATTTGAAGTACCTATGGAGAAATAATTTAAAAAGCTTCATCAAGATGAGTTGACACAACCATTTCAGTTCAATCACCAGTATTTTTGGTCTCTATTCAAAATCACTGGTCAGAAGTAGGTGTCAAAGAAGCGGTACAGTTAGCGGTGCAACCACCACGTTTGGAACAACGGGTGTGCCTACATAGTTTGAAGCTCATTCTGAGAGAGAATTCCTGTACAGAGTAGCCATGTCAGTGACACTCTGCTTTGTCTAATTAACAGCACTTAATTGCAGGGTGTCCTAGCCCAGACAGAGCTCTGTGCCAATATAGCCATATTATCCTTGGTACCTAAAGAGTGTTACAGTTTCTGTACTTGGCCACACATATGCATCAAAGACTGCCTTAAATCAAATCCAAGAGCAAGCTGACACTCCCTTTGTCCCCTTCTTAGGCTCAGAGTACACAATGACAGATATGAAGTCATCACAGAACATCAGCTAAAGATCTGACACTCCATACACCCTTTTGGAAAATGCTCCATATGACAAAGCTTACTTCATCAACAGCCTACTTCAAACCAGTAAACACATAGGGAGATGCTCCAGGATGAGAAAAATTACATTGAAGAAATTTTTCATTAGTAACTTTCGGGTGACTGCTTTTGATTAACCACAACACAAGAATGAAGAACTTCTGATATGCTTGCAAATCCAAAAATCAGTCATGCCATTTAAGCTCCATTTAGTGCTCATGGACAAACTTACTCCCATTGATACGCCTGTGACTTATGACAAAATTTAGATCACAGTAAGACTCCACCATGCCACATGCCAGTGAAATAAGAGATCTCATGTTGAAAGGCTAACCAGTTATCCCCTTTTTCTGACTTGCTCCTTGTATACAGCTAAAGTTCCATCAGCAGTAGCTGACTCTGCTCAGCAAGCATTTAACCAGGTACCTTGGTTCCTTCACTAAATAGTCCATTTAATTTATTTTTTTTTTAATTATTAACTGAAGTATACTTTTTCTTGTAGAAAATATGAGGATAAAGTCAGCATGCACAGTGGGACACATCTGAAAAGATGTCAGTAAGGACCATGTGTTCTGCTTACATTGGAATGTAGAATCAACTTCATGAAGCACAAGGAGCAGGAATATGGGAGCGCAGATTACAGACAGCACAGAACCACCTCGTGGGTTTAACTACAACACGGATTAAAAATAAATACAAAAACTGCTCTTCCAGCTTTAGATGCCTTTTCCTCAGTTGAGCAACTGAACTACAGACCTGTATCAGGTCATTGGAAAACTACTGCTATTGTGAATGGCAAATACAAATCCCTAAGAATGAAAGAATAAACAAACATCACAGCACAAAATACTCCAGCATGATTTCCTGAGTTGTAAATTAGTCGAATCTGTACATCAAGGAGAATATGTTACAGCATGTGTTCAGTAAAGACCAGAAACTGGAAGAAAGACTGCTACCAAAAAAATCACTAGGAACAATATACTATGCCATTTTCCTTACCCCCTGAGCTTTCACTGGAATTTATTTGTGGCACAGTGACTTCAGAAGCCTGTATGTTGGTCACAGATGCTGCTGTTACAGCTGGCGCAGGACTGCTTCTGCTAAAAAGAGAAGAATGATGAAATGCTGAATGTTAGTATCGCGTAACTATCACCACTTTTCATCACATCACATGCATGGCCAGTAACCACAGCTGATAGGATTTTACCTACATTACACAGCAGAACTTATACTATGCCACAGTAGGAAGACAGATATGAGCATTGGCAATCTACTTTCAAACTGGAGCAATGAAAACTATTTCATATGTTTAATCTGAATCACTTCACAGACAGCTTTTTAGACCATTAAGAAGCTGCATTAAAAAAAGGCAAAAATTAAGGCAATGTCTGCCCAAATAAGGTGCAGGGGAAACCGTAGCAACCTTTTTCCTGAAGGATGGAACAAAACCAGCATAGAAAGAAAGTTTGTTTTCAGTCTACACACCATTACGACTATGATTTCAGTCTGGACTTCCCAAGCAAAGGCCCAGTATTTCACATGACAAAGAAAATTGTTTTTTTCATTTTCAAGAAGTAGGGAAGCAGTACGTGTCTAAAATCAACACAGGACAATTTCCACTTCACGTGTGACATCCTAGATATCATAGACTTGTTTTAACAGCATGGTCAGTGGCATCAACTATTTGAAATCATTTACCAAGGAAGACTAACTAAAAGAGCACTTGTCAAAAGACACAAGTACTTAAATATTTTATCCTACACAACATCCTATAATATATGTCTAATACTGCACAATTGTAGGAGACTGATGTTAACTTCTCTGTGCATCAGGCAGACAAACATGAGACTCTTGAAAGAAGAGCAGAATCGCATTTACTTGGGCAAACTGAAGTTTAGATAGGAAAAGAATATAGAAAGTTAGGCTTAAGACAAACAGTAATATGTACACTTTAAAATACAACATAAAATTATGTTCCCAAGCTTAATTTGCATAGATATCATCAGTAACAGCAGTAGCACTACTGATTTCCCCGCAGAAAGCCTGAACTTCTGTCTGACATTTTGATCCAAAACTCACATAATTCTTCCTCACTCCCACACCTCATTTCCTGCTCACTACCTCTCAGCCTTCTGCTGCAGTACCCCCAAGTTTTTATATCCCCTTGTTCTAAGCATCTTTACCTAACTTTGTAATTCCTCACCTGAGCCATGCCACCTATCCCCCAAATTTAGCCCTGCTCTAGTACTGAAACTGGAAATAAGAGTGTCTGCAAGCTCGGATTTTGAACATTCACACCTTGATAACTGTTATCATGTCACACATGCAATATTTGCTATGCTTTTAACACAAGTAATTCAGGAATACAGAGCAGCAAGAAGACTGAAAGCCTTCATTACCCCTGAGAACTTCCAGAACTGTTCAACGGACTCGTCTTCATAGCACTAGTAGGCGAAGGCACAGACGTGCTGTTATCACTGTCCATAGACAAGTCTAGGCTGCTGTCATTCAGAGCTGTCAACCTGATCCCTTCTGTCGAATGCTGCAATCCACATGACAAAAGAAAATTATATTAGTCTTAAGGGCTTAAGAATCAATGAAGATTCAAATGATGTAATATTTCAGTTATGCAAAATGTTAGCTGCTACATTTGTGAAGCAAAAAGAAACGACACGATTTAACAGCGATGAACCTCCACCATGAACTAAGCATGTATGTGTGCCTTAAACGCAATTAAGTTCAAGTCCACTTTTAGAAAAAAGCCCTGAAAGTGGTAGCATTTAAAAATGCAAGACACAGATGTAAAAGGATTTGAAAACTGTCCATGTAAATAATCCACTACCCTGTAACTACAAGCATCTACATTTTCACATTCACAATTCAGGTACAGATTTGTCTGAACCAATGATGTTCAAAACCATAACATAAACTTATTATCTTTAGTGATTGTATTTTCAGCTTTATTTCAAGTTTCTTTGTTTTCGTGGGCTTACACATACTGCTTTCATTAACTTCAAAGAAATACCAATGTACACAAAAACCACAATACAAGGAATTTAGAGACTGATTTGAACTTAGTCAGTTGAAAGAAAAATTCTCCTCTGACATAGTACTATTTAAAGAGATGCATTACTTCATATTTACATTGTCCTCTGAAACACATTAAAGAGTTATACTTGGTTTCAAGACAAGATTTCCTATTCTTTAAGAAAGCAGTTAACATCAAACAGCTATAGTAATTAAGCACATTACACAGATATACCTGAAACAAGAGTATATAAGTGTTTTAGCTATTCACGAAAACAAGCAAACCCGTATTGCTCTCAGAGTACGCTAACTCAAAGAAGCAGGGATTTTGAAATACAGACTAAAAATTGTTGAATTCAATGTTCTACTCCCTTCTTCCCAACTCCACTAAAAGCAAATCACATCCAACACATCAACTTAATTAAAACTTTCCCTGCAATTCTCATGAATGGCCACACAGGTAAAGTATACATTGAGGAAGAAAGTAACCCTAGCTAGGTAATGGGCAACTTTGATGTCAAAACTGTCATTTAAATCTTTTACTCTTAACTGAAAGAGCATATAATACCAAAAGCTGCCAAGCTGCTGGTTGAAGAATACTTTCCTTCAAATTATCCTCAAAGTATTCAACTTCAGTTACAGCAACAGACTACCATCTTAGATACAAAAAGGCAGCAACAAGTTCAACATTCTATTCTGCTTCTATTTGATTTTACATTTAGAAGACTAACAGGAAAATCTAAGTAATAACAACTTAAGAGGAAAAAGCTGGAACTGCTTGACTGATTGTTCTACTAGTATTGTAATATATGTTTCCTTTAGGCAACCTGCATGTTAAAATAGCAAGGCAGCTTTAAAACCTTATGATTACACTTTTTTAAATCTGTTTAGTTTAGAAAGGCCAATAAAATACAGTATTTCAGCCAGACCTGAAGATACTATCCATGTTGTTGATGTTCTGGGAAATCTACTATTATGTTTAGTGCATCTAGTAATACTGCTAGAGTCAAATGAGAACACGTTGCTTATACAGGTATAACTAAGATTTCAAAATGTGATTTTACTACTTTGATTAGTAAATCTAAAAAGCTGAGGAATCATTTCTCAATGGCGTTTTTATTGCTCTCAAATATTAGTCAAGTTTACCTTTTTCTTTTTCTGAAGCACGTGATTAGGTAGCAGTTGGTGAAGTTGCTTACGTTTCACATGCCTTGCAGCAATCTTCATATCCATCTCAAACATCTTGCTGTTTATTGCTTGCCTATAAACTACACAATTAGAATAACATTAAGACCTATTGAAGCATTTTGCAAAGTCCACTTACTTGCCAAGGCACAAACAATTTGCATTTCAGAACATTTATTACCCCCAAGAACAAGCACAGCGTTTTCTTGTTTGGAGGAAGAAAGGTAACTGCCCACTATGCCAGCACTGATAGTACTAACAAACATTACTTGGAAAACAAGTGACCTGTTTTCCAAGAACAATACCTTGCAAGCACCCAGTTCCGTAAACTGTATTGTTAACAAGTTTTAACAGTAACAGCTCTGAAGTGAATTCTTCATTTTACCTCAAAGGGACTAAAGGCAGAAATAAGATTTCCTCATAAGAATTACAGTGTTTACATAAAACTATTTTCTTCACAGTTGATTCAGCTTTTATTTATGAAGCTTCTACAACAAATGGATTCTAATTCAAGAGCTGAATGCTTGTTTGCCAGCCAAGATGTTACAAATTATTCTGGCAACTCTCAACACCAGTATGTTTTTGTACACAAGTGAATTCCGTTTGTTTTTTTCTGCTGTGTTTTCAGGTTTTTTGGTTGCTTTGCTTTGGTTTGGTTTTGGTGCCTTTTTTTTTTATTATGTCTACTATAATGAGCTATTTCTCTTCACCTCATAATATGTACTTCTGGTGAGTCAACAGGGTTAGTGCTAGTAAAGGAACTACACTGCAACCCAACATCTTGGGTTCAAGTAAAGCCAGGTAAAAAAGAAAAATTCTTTGTTCTTTCACACAGATTTTCTATACAATGTTGAGCAAAGCTGTGCCAGAAGTACGAATAAAAAAAAATTTTCTTTAGATCTTAAATACATAAACTTAAGAGAGATCTCCTTTATTCACTGCCTATTCTAAAAACATTAAGGAATCTCACTGAACAGGTTGTGAATGTGTTATTAAAAAGCTGTTAAAAGACACACAAAGAGCTCAATGAATACAGCATATTAAAGAACCTACTACACTAATTGTTGGTATTGAAGAAGCTCATAAAGCCTCTGTGTAAAGATTATACAAGTTACAGTTAAGGCAGTGGCATGCTCAGGAAACCCAGATATGGTTAAAGCATTCCGTGTTCCCAACATTAGGTCTTACCAAAGATTCAATACAAGGAAAACCTAGTCTACTCTCCACAGCTCTTCCTCACCCTATTCCCACCAAAAAGCAAGCTATTCCCTAATTCCCTTCTTGAAAATGCTTCGGTAGTTTTGATAAAACCTTAGGATCTATTCTAAAAGACAGGGCAAATGGAAGTTTTCAGGATGGATTAAAACAATTAAGATAGACCCACACTAATTTGAGACTACAGAGAAACCCACAACACACAAACAAATTGTTTGCTAGTTGATTACCTTTGGAACTGTATTTACAAATTGAACAGAAAACTATGCATCAATCTACAATTATTTTGATGAAATGCTACTTCATTTAAAATTGCATATATTTAGAAAAATTTTAGATTCAAATGTTGTGCAACTAAATCAGAATCCAAACCTTAAGTGCAAGTTCAGTATTTTCATATAAAAAAATCTATCAAGTATGCTATTGAAATTCCCGTTTATAAACAATAGAAGACCTGAGAATCTGTAATTCATAGATTCCTTCACTCCTTCAAAGCAGCAGCCAAGCTACCACACCTCTTCTGAATTCTCAAAAATTAGAATGTGTCTATAGTTTTCACCACTTATAATCAAAAGAAAATAAAAATCTGAAAAAGGCAGATACATATACACACACAGACACGCGACACCACCCCACCACCCCCGCAGCTGTGTAGGACAATAAAGAACTTCCAAATCTTGGCATGATTTAGTTATACATATATATGTATATGTATATTTACATTATATTCACTCATACACCCACAGGGGTGGGGGCATGTGTGGAGGGGAGTGAGCTGCACAATTTCCTTGCTTCCAGTCTTACTGAGTCTTAGAAATCCAGAGACCAGGGTTGCATTAGGTAGCACTTGAACCTATTCCTTTAGTTCTGTAAACATGTAATACTTGAGCCTTAACTGTCATTTGTCTAAGAAAAGATATGTTCCTTTCTTAGTCTTAGACTCTGGAACATCACACTCACTAGCCATTACCAATTCTCTGCTTACAAATTTCTCATGCATATTCTAAGGTATTTTTGTGAATCAAAAAGTAAACACTGTAAAAAGTGAAAAAGGTTTCTTGCACCGAGTGGTAGATGAGACAGCAAGTTTACTGAACCAACTAGCTAGCATGAAATGCCATGGAATAAAAGGCATTTTCTAACGTCTATGAGATACTCAGCTAAATTCACTGATAAATTCAGTTTCACCAAATAATAAAAATATTTAAACTACACACATTGTCAAAACGAAGTTAGGCTACGTAGTTTGCATATGAGAAACAGTTTATCCGTTTAATAAAGACCACAGTATAAGGCACCATATTTAGTGAGATCTGAAAAGATGTGTGTGCATCGTTTTAACGAAAACAAACGGAAAATGATTGGTCTGAAGTGTCTAGAAGCATTGAAACTATTTCATTAAATAACATACTAAGTCCTTAGCTGAAACCTCCTACTCTATGTCTAAATACAATTCTACTACTGAAACAGACTACACTATGAACAAAGACAATAACTTCAAGAAGTTTGTTAATATCAGTTCATCTAGAAAGCAAAACTCACCTGTGTCTGTAAAAGACTGAATGTCGTAGGTAAGATCAACACTTAAATTTTCGGAATTTTCAGTTTTCTTAAACACCAACCCAATCACCCACATTGTACGGTATTCTTCCCTGGAAAATTTTATTTAGAACAGTCATATAATACTGACAGACAAATTAATAATCTAATAAATTATTTGCTACAATAGGCAAGAGTTTCACATTTTAGCTCCACTAGCAATGAGGAGCTAGCCATAGAAAGGCAACAAAGCTGACTTAACATTCCCTTTTCATTTGCAACACAAAAAGTAGTCATGGAACGCTGGCACATGTATCTCCACAAACTTAACCAACTAAGATCATCAGTAGATCGCGTCATTCAACCGTGCTTCTGTATAGATTCTCTCATTTTTAGGAGTTCCAACTAGCCATCACAACTGTAAATGAAATAGATCTGAAAGGAGATGAGATTTTCAGCACCTGACCCTGAAAGTAGTTAGAATCTAATCCCTAACTAAACAACTTCCATTTTGCCACCAAAACTTGTCTTCAACTCAAATTTCTTCACTCTCAAATTTCTTTCAGTCTTGTGACTGACCAGAAAGTGCAGTTCTCAGGTAAGAGCAGCTTCCCTTTGACAGCTCACCTTCACATAATACACATGGAAGTTGAACTATGGATTCTATTACAGAATCAGAGTAACACTTCCATAGCAGCTCAAGACATTTAATGTTTTAATTCAAATGACTTTTGCCTGTAAGTCTATTGCGGAAGAAAACAGTTTTCCAATCAATCAATGAACAAGTTTAGGCAGGCAAGTGAAGAACATATGGGAAAATGACCTTTCCTAAGAGCACTGCCTGCATCAAGTCCTCTGAAATAAGAGCTAAGTGAAGCCTGTGATTATGCAGGCAGTTGTAGCTGTCTTTACTCACTAAAATGGTGCTGAAGAGGTACTGTCTGCTTTGTCCAATTTCACACAGAACATGCATGTAATTTATGCATATACCCTTAAAAAAAGCAGCACCATACTGTCAGTTGAAAAGCTGTGTGCAAAGTTATCAAAGCTTTTTACATATTCCCAGTGAAAACAAAAATTTCTTCCCCATTCTCACACTTGGCACAAAAATATAATTTCTTACAATTACAACACTATCCAGAAGTAAAATAAAGTCTTTTAAAGAGTTTAGTCCACACATCTGCAATCATTATTTTGAGTGGGGGAGGAATGCGTGGCAGATGCGGGGGGAGAAGAAGTCAAAAAACATACATAATCCTAAACAATTTGCAGTACTTGGCATTCTCTCCACTGTTTCCACATCCTGAGGAATTCTAACACCAGCCATTACCGAGTTTAAGTGATATGCATCTCAACTGCTAAATTTAATAACACTAAATGTACTTAGTCACTTAAGATTTCGCTTCTACTGTGCTTGGTGTTCTACTCTATTCTCAGTGCTGCCTTATAATTAAAACTGTCTTACCAACTGATGCTAGATGCTCAAACAACAGCAGCTAAGTAGCACCAGCTAACATGGATTATTGGCAAGAACTTACGCAATTAGTACAGTTATTTGCAAAAATATATTCTTTCTTTACCGTTATTTTCTAGCTTAGAAACATTCTTATATAGAATAAGGACTATCTAATTTTACAAATAGTACTTGAGAACAGCTTATAACTGTTTGCCTTTAGACGCCATCATTAAAAATTAATCCACGTAAGATTCTACAAAAATGCTAGTTTATTTATTAATGAATTGGTATTTCAGCTAAGCTAGTCCCCTCACCATTACATGGAAAAACAGTTTTGCTTACTTGTCAGGATTCTCCTTGGGTGCTGGGAATGACTGTGGATTCACATGAGCCAGTGTAATGAATTCATTCTTCTCCAGGTTTCCAACTAGAATACGGATTTTTGATTCCACCAAGCCCACCCTGCATAAATGTCATTTATTAGCAAGTTCTCATTCATATGAAATAACAGAAGTATCTATCATCATAAATCAGGATAAAATCCTCAACATCCTCCTTGTACTATCATTTGAGACTACAAATGAACTAGTGCACTATACCTAACAGATTAATTCAGATCAATAAACTAAGTGAATACGTTACAAAAACTAGCACAAGGGAAGCTTAAGAATGCCCTGAAGCTCTTATTATGGCCTGATTTTACAAATAGAATTAAATAGCAAGACATTACACGTAAGAGGCAGTCAGCAAGGAACTCCTACATATTTCTCCAATATTCTTTTGGCTTCAGATGATGAATTTTTAAGTTGAAGAAATTCCCAATACCTGACAATCTTAAAACTTCTCTAATAAAAGAGACAAGAAACAATGGAAAGAGGTATTTTTGTTTTGAGAAACAGTGTTTTAAGAGATCAAACACAAATCTCCTCACACTGCTTATTAAAAACGTGCATAAGGCTTAAGAAAATAAGATTTGTAAAGTGAACCTGACAGTGCTGTAAAGAAGCAACATTCAAGCAACAGCCTTCGCTCCCTGGTTCTTCATTTTCACTGTTTTTCAGAAGTGTATCATCTTCATCCATTTTAATTTTGAAACACTGAAGCTCCACTTTGTTTCATTAAAAAAATACTAGATACACTAAACATTCCCTCGTGTCCAAGGCTGACAGTTTGTTTGGTTGGTTTTGTTGTTTCCCCTTTTTTTTTTTTTTTTTTAAATAGGAAGCATTATACTCACCATTCTAGTCGCTGTTTTTCTGTCGGTGCGCTTGCTAGAAGTACAATATAATGCCTTTGGAGATAAAGACAATACGCTATTCTATTTATACTTCTAAAACTAGACATTCAAACCTTAATATTAAAGCTTTGCAGTAAGTTCTACATTGCAAACTACAGATTATTAGCTTAAGTATATACCCTAAAAAGAACTAAGCATTCTTAAGTAGGCAGAGGGGCTATGTCTCCCAAGTGTGTGACTAACGGACTTCTCGAAACATTTCAGATTTTAGGGACATTTGTAACTACACTTTAACATCAGTAACCTTAATAAAAGGCTAGGAACATAGCACTAGTTGAAAAAAACAGTACAGATATTTCAATACCTAATGAGATCAGCGATTAACTGACTACTAGGGATTCTTTGCAAGTAAAAACAATTGTTCACAATCATCTATACATATGTCAGTTGTCTTAGTCACAACATTACTTCTGAATAGTTAGAAGAGTGGTTAGCATGTATGCATTCAAAGTAAAAAACAACACTATCAAGTGTGGTTTAAAAAGTTTCGTATCTGCATTTTAGAATTGTCTGAAGACACTTATCTGAAACTTCACAAGGAATGTATCTTCTGATGATAATTCTTAAGCTCTCAATTATATTCCAGGATAATCAGTGTATACTCACTGTAAGTAAATTTCAAAGAAACAGTATACAAAGCAAAAATGGTATTTTAAACAACGAAGCCCAAGGACAGTGGAATGGGAGATGATTACTTTTAACTTGAGTTCATAATGGGTGAGGTGAGGGAACCTTACATGGCTACAGTTGGGTTTAGCTGGGAAGTCATCCAATTTGGCATTACTCTATACTGATACAGTATACATAGTTATCTCCAGAGCAGGATTTAAAGAATAGTAACTTGAGGGATTAGACCCTAGTACATATACCTCACAGAAAGGAACACAGAGTCAATGATGGTGAAAAACCATGGTGCAAGAGTCCTCTGATGCTACAGGCCTTCAAATCGTAACAGTAAGTCAAAATCAACAGATTAAATCAGTAACTACATGTTTCCGTACTTATCTTCAGGTAGCAAGAGGAAAAAAAACCTGCTAAATGCTCAGTCTTTTGAACTCTGTCGGAGAACATCAAAGAAATAAGTGGACTGGAAATGAGAGATTTGGAGAAACTCCTCTGCCTTCTGAATAGGGCATTTTATCTAGTTTTTTTTTTTTTGCATTTTGGCAGTATAAACTGCTTCATATAAAGATGTTAAGGAGTTTTTCCTGTTATCTTATAGAAATCCTCATTTTAATTACTTGTAGGACACCATGACTCAATAATTGGTACCAAAAAGAGAGAGAGGATAAGGGTGCTTTACTCAAATTCTGTATGAGCAGTTCCTAATTTCTAACAGATTTCTTCTCAATAGCACTAGATATGCAACTATTATCCAAAAGGTTCCTACACCATACACACCACACACACTTGGGGAATGTTTCGTCTAATAAAAAAGACAACTTAAGTTTTTCATTATTTTTAACCATGTATGAACTGAGACAAATCTCAAATCTGCAAGTACTTGAAGAAACTAATTTTTCAGTTACTTATTAAAAGAAGCTCTTGGAATCAAACTTCTGAAGAACAATCAGAAACAAAAAAATGGATTTTGCTATGTCTAAAAGCCTCAACTAGTTGGTGAGCACCTAGGCAAAAAACGCTGGGCCTTATATAAAAGTAAGTGTAATGACTAGCTATTTTTACTCAGGTAGTGCTACCTGAAAAATAAAGGAAAAGATGCAGGTTTCCTCCTCTACACCCAACTGTTAAAGGGTGCTGGGAGGCAATTAATAACTGGAAATCTGCTATCGCCATTTTCAGCAAAACTTAAAGAGCACAAGACATTAAGAACTAAGACACACTTAGTCTGAGAGTCCAACATCTCACTGCTGAATTTTACAAAGACAGGATCTGTTATCAGTTCTTCATTCAGAATTTTAGCACAAAGACTACATCCAGTTCAGAAGTACACGTTACTTCATGGTAAAGAAAAAAATTCTAAGTTAAGCTTCTACCCCTCAGTGGTGATTTTTAGATGCAGAGTATTATTTTTAAGTACATGGGCTTGGGCTTTGTTTTTTGTTTGCTTGTTTGATTTAGGCTTTTCTTTAGAAACTGGTGTTGTTTCTCCCCCACAGTCTCCATATCTGCATTATGTTTTAATAAAAATAACCTCATTAGATATTATGGAATTGTCTTACACCATTAACACCTGTACCTACAAAAACCCCAAAGTATTAAGAGTCATACTACTTTCTGAAAAAAATATTAAGACCTCAACCTGTTAGCCTCAATCTTTCTTCATTAACCTGTCCAGGATTAACACTTTAAATTATACAGTACTTTAAAGTCCTATTAAGGCATGTGTTCAAAGTACCTTTTTAAAAGATATGTTCATATTCTACTTATTTAGCAGGATATCTGTCTTTATAACAGAGAAACAATACACTAGAGCTCATTAAATGTGTTATTTCTCTCATCACCGTATTTCCCTCTTGGTTTTAAGGTCTAATAATTTCATTTTCATGTAACACTTCACATGTTATATCCATTTGAAATTATTCTTGCCATTTCTTTATAAAACACCATATCCAGCAAGTGTACGTTCTTTGTTGTTGTTTCCCCCCACGTCTGAAAAAATTTAAACCTACATGAAGGGCAGATAACATGTTGTAACTCCTTAAGCCCAAGTAATTGTTGACATTTTAAAAGTAAGAAAAATAAGTAAAATAAATGAAAACAGATTTCCCCATTTTCCCAATTTCTAATCTGCTCCTGCCATGCAGGTATGCAGTAGCCTCCAGATTTCCTTAGCCACCCAGCACTGAAGTTTATTTTAAACACAGCTAACAAGTCAGAAGTGTTTACGATCAACATAGATGTTTAGCAACTAATTGCCATTGAGAGTGATACAGATTACTAAAGCTATGCTTTCAGAGAAGAAAATATAAGCTTTTAAAAGTATGTCTCAGGGCAAGGCACAGATCTTTTATCTGGCAGAGCACTACACACTGCTTTGAATTTCAG